TCTTTCTTTCTTTCTTTCTTTCTTTCTTTCTCTCTCTTTCTTGGGTGCTGCGTGCGCTGCTTTATTGGCTTGTCGACGTCCACGAGATCGTTTCTTGTACTGCGTTTTTTTTTTCGCCGAGCAAACATCACTGCGCGAAGGCATGCCGGGCTGGTGTCTCATTGAAAGCGACCCGGCCGTGTTCACGGAGCTGATCGAGCGCTTCGGCGCTCGCGGCGTGGCGGTGGAGGAAATTATTGGCCTCGAGCCGGAGTTCTTCAAGACATACGAGAACGTCTATGGCCTCATCCTCCTCTTCAAGTGGAAGGCGGGTAAGTCGGTGGCGCTAGATGGCGTGGTAGTGCCGGACGCCCCAGTGTACTTTGCACAGCAGACCGTCACCAACGCCTGCGCCACGCTCGCAATTGTGAACACGCTGTTGAATCACGGTGACCACATTGAGCTCGGTGACGCGCTCACCAATCTGTTTTCCTTTACGGAGGGTATGAACGCCCATCTGCGTGGGACCCAGGTGGGTGAATGCGAAGTGCTGCGCGATGCACACAACTCCTTCGCGCCCAGCGAGATATTTGCTATGGATGCACAAATGCCAGACACCAGCGACGTGTACCACTACTCCTCGTTTGTGTACAAGAATGGATCCATCTGGGAGCTCGACGGGCTGCAGGAGGGCCCCATCCTTGCAGCTGATGCTACCGATAGTAACTACAAGGAAAAGCTGCTTGAGGTGGTACGTAAGCGCATCGCTGACAAGAGTGGGGCGGATAGAGCAGGAACTGGTCAGGGGATATCGTTTTCTCTCATGGCTGTTGTGGATGATCGCGTGTTGCAGCTGGAGAAGCAAATCAATGATTTGAAAGCGCGTGAGGCACCGACGGCATACCTTGAGGGGCAATTAACACAGTTGCGTGCAGAGCGTGAAAAGGGTCGCATGGAGAACGAGCGCCGGCGGCATAACTACATACCTATGATTGTAGAGCTTATGAAGGCATTGGCAGAGAAGAAGAAGTTGAATGGAATCGTAGCTGAGGTTTTGAATAAGACTGGACAGCCGTCAAATAACTATTGATGTGTCGTTCTTTTTAGTACCAGTGCTATTTCAACGGCAATGCTAGCTCCGTCGCGGCCGTCATGCTTGATTCTCACTTTTTTCCTGGTTCCATGCGCCTGAATAGATGCGTTTCATATTATTAAGTGGAAAAGGTGGAAGTGTCACTCTCACTGTCGTGTTTATTGGTATTTACTATTATTGGTATGCTTATTACTATGGCTATTATGATTCTTACTATTATTAGTACTGTTGGTATTATTGAGCGTTTTTTCTTCTTCGTTTTTTTTTTACTTTTGTCTTTTTATGAGCGGCGCTATGGAAGAGAAGATGAGTGATTCAAAACATGTTGAAGGTGGACGCTTAGCGAAGGGAAAGCGTAGCCGTGAAAAAACCACACCAGAAGCATCACCAGTGCTTCTGTCACCCGCCGTAAATGGGGACTATGCCTTTTTGGATGTAAAGCAGGTACTCGACCGCGTCTTGCAGCAATGCGCCGATGACGCGGCGAAGACAACGCTTACAAAAGGGGATCTGCTATCGTCGCTCTTCAAAGCGTGTGAAATGGTGGCGTATCAACAACGACTGGAGGCCCCGCTCGACCGGGAAGCGTTGCAGCAACAGGTGCAGGAGGCCTTGGGTACCGCCGCTGGTGAGGCGCTCGACGCGGTGCTCATCCAGACCCTCACAGAGACCCTCACAACGCAGTTGGCTGAGGAGATCCTGAATCGGCCGACGCTGCCAGCGTCATCGTCCACAGCGAAGAAGGAAATGACAGAAGGTGCTCAGCCGGTCTCTGGCCGTCCCGATAAACGCAGTCGTACGGAAGCATCGCTGGACTCATGTCTCCTCACCACGGCGGAGGCGAGCTCATCATCGCCCACTGACGGTGTTTGGTGCCGTGGTGGTATTCTACCAACGCCACCTCCACTGCCGAGCGTATTCTCGGAAAGTGGTGCATGCTCTGTGGATTGTGTTGCCTTTGATAACGTGCCGGCAATACACTGCACCCCTGAGGCTATGCGACGGCAGCTTGAGAAGATCTGTGCCAGGATACCAAATGCTTTATTTCTCAATATACTATGTCTCCCGGATGAAAGTCGCGCCATTGTCTCATTTAACACCAAGGAAACTGCGGCAGCGGTTATATTCGCTATAAACTCCTTTGTCAAGGACAAATCAACTGGGGTTCGTGTAGCTGAAGCAAGCGAAGCGCAGCAGCAACTTCTATTGGAGCCTCTGGCTGCACGGGTCAAGGCACAGGAAGAACAATGGCGCTGCTGGCGTGCAAAATACGAGGCGTACCCAGCCCACAGAATACGCAAAGAGCGGGCAGAAGCACTGGCCAAGGATGCAATGCTTCAGGAGGAGTTACGGATCCTGACATCAAGCGGCGGGGACACAAATCAACCGGAAGGTGCCACCATGTCAAGTCAGGCAAATGCAATGAGCACGACAGAGCTGCTTCAGAGGAAAAAGGAACTCCTGCTCGGTCGCTTGGAATGCAAAGGGATACTGGAAAAGGCGGTAGAGCAAATGAGGTTGTTGTATGGCGATGCTTACATGGAGAACCTAGAGAAGGGACCTCTGGAAGCGAAGTATTCCTCTAGCAGCGCCATTGCGAGGGATGTCCGCAAGGTTCTCTTTATTCGTGAACTTCCGCGCCGGCTGGATGACGCTGAAGTTCTGCAGTTCCTCTGCTTTGTTGGGGTTCAGCCTGTTCATATCTGGCGCGAATCCGCTACTGAGACAACCCTCTGTGTTGCGGTACCCTCGGTGGGACATGTCTTTAGCGTTCTTAGGAGCCTGGAAGGGACAGAAATGCGATTTGATGGCGCTCTCTTTTCTCGTGATCTCGTGTGCCCTGCGAAGAATTGAGAAAGTGGTGGTAACTCTTTGTTGTATTTTTGTTCTTTGGTATCCCACACCGCTCTATGGATTGTGCTCTGCTGAGTCTCCGCTTTAACGTATACCCCACCTTCTCCTTTTCGGTAACAAACTCCTCTGCGTCGCTTTGTTGCTCTCTTGATTTGTAATTTCTTTTTTTTTTTTCCTTTCCTCTGTTTTTTTGGGACCTTGTACGTATTAGATGGCGGCCGGTTGGGTAGGATTGGGCGATCACCACTAGGCACCTCAAGGAGCGGCACAACGGAGCTTCTCACTCGACGACAGGCGCTGCTGCTGCACGGCACCTTGGCGAGGAACGTGGCAGGCCCTGCTGTGGTTTCTATTCAGCGAGTGCCATACCGGGCGTGCAGCAGTACCATCAGCAGCAGCAGCAGCGACAAGAACAATGACCACAATATTAGTAGTATTACGAATAGCAGCAGCAGCAGTAGCTATATAGCCACTATTCTTTCCTCTCATACACTTCTACGAAGAAGGCGTTGGGTTAGCGTTGAGAGCAACCATTACCTGCAAGAGCAAAGCGGATATGCTGCCTCTATTTGCGAGGTGGGGGAATTGTTGGCGTGCATAGACAAAGAGAAGCCTCTCCCAATTGGAATGGAGGAGTTTCTGCGTGGTCTCCACTCCGACGCGCTCGTGGCGTTGCTTGAGTATTTCGTGGCGTACCGTATTCATTGTCTATTTCGTCCGAAGCATCACAGCAGCAGCGATGGGATGTCGTATCTCTGTGAGGCAATGCTTTTGGCGCTTGCTCACCGAAGTGTGGAATTGTCATCGAAGCATGTGTCATTTATCGGGGCTCTTTGCTGCGCATCCGGCGTGGACGCTCACCTGTTCCCGTTGATTCTGTACCGGTGTCGACTGTCACTTCGGCGAACGCAAGCCGTTCAGACATTGCGGGCGCTTTGTATGATGCGGTGCCACGCTGTTGACACGCTGACGTGCGGTGAGGCCGTTTGCACCTCCGCACTGAGCTCGCTGCTGGTGCGCTGCATGGATCTCGAGCCGCTGCATGAGGAGTACGACACGCAGCAGCTGCTCTGCCACGCGCTCGTGCGGCAGTTTAGCAGCATTCACAACGACATTCGCACGGCGTGTCTCTGGCGGGTTCGGCGAGGCGGTAACCGCAGCGATGTTGTGCTGCGCTCGCCGGTACTAGAGGTGACGCTTAATGCCTCTCCCTCACCGCCCAACGCTTTTGCAGGAATGGAGATGGCGAGCCGCTCGCTCGGTCTGCCCAGGGTTGACAGGACATATCTTCACGCACTCGTGGCACGAGCGTCGAGCGTTGACCACCTTGTTAGACGAGGGTCTGCAGCTCCGCTGGGGGATCCAGCATTGGCGCTCCACCAGCAACTGCCGGTTGTGAAGCAGCTCCATGGGGAAGCGAAGCTAGCGGCGCTGGAGACGCTCTCGCATCGGGTACTGGAGGTGCCGCGGCTTCGCGTCGTGGTGGGTCTTGCCGACGCTGTTCTGCACTGCTGTCCATCGCTGAGTCAGGTGGTTGTCCACCGTATTCTGCAGCTAAGCTGTGTCGAGGGTGAAATGGAGGAGGCGGGGTCGCTATCCACGCTAACAGCACTTCATCAGCTTCTGCCCCAGAGTAATGTAATGGACGTGTTGGAATCTGTCATGGTGCAAGGAAGCAACGATAAGCGAGAGGGGGGTGAATCATTATACTGCAATGTGGGCATGTGTTTGCCAGACTCTCTCGTAAAGTGTCTGGCTATGCATTTTCCGTTGAGATTGGTTCCTGCAATGTTTCATCGTTTGTATCGTCAGCGGGAGCTGGCGGCATTTCAGTTGTCTCCATTTGTGCTCCGGGTGTTGCTGCAGGTGCTGGAATACATGGAGCTCGATTCCCTCAACCCGGATGGCTACTCATGCATCAATACATTTGTAAAACAGGAACGACTCAAGGCGGCGCCTCAGATTGGTATCGAAAAAAAGTTGACAGAAAGCAGCACACTGCTGACGGCCATTGAGAAGTGTGCCGCGCTAAGGCGACGCGATGCAGGTACAACCTCAGCAGTTAGCAGTGCTGCTGCTTCTCTTACTCTTACATCAACAACGGCAGGATCACTTGTAGGTCATTCTGATGCCATGGACTCGAGCAGCGTGGGTATCGCCACAAGCGCGCTCCGAGTAATGTTTGGGGCAAGTGCAGTGAATTTCGTGACGCCAGAGGCCGCAGTGCGGCACCGTGCGTCGCTCTCGTGGCTGTATGCCATCTACCGCATGTCTGTTTCTTTGCTGTGCGAGTTAGAGGCTCTCGCGGCCCTAGCCGTTTGTCAAGGGACGCAGTTACAGATCAGCGAGAAACAGCGCACACTCGTTGAGCTCTCTGAGTCCACTGATGGAAGTTTGGCAGTGACAGATGTGGATGATCAGGTAGACACCTGTATCAAGGTGGAAGGGGAGCTGCGTGCGTGCGCCGAGGAGTGGCTTCTGGGTGGAGAGAGTAGCCGCGATGCGTTCAGGCGGTTAGTCATGGTAGCAGAGGCCCAAGAGTTTGCTGCGTCGTTTGTCAGTTACGCCGCGCTCTCTCGGCACGATGCTGCTGAGATGGAAGAGGTGCGGCGTCACTTGTGGCCTTCGGCCGCTGTGCTTTGCCGCGAGAAACGCCGCTATGGTAATGGTACGTACAAAATGCCTCGCTGTACCCGTCATGGCAGTGAGGCATTAGGTGCAGCTGATGGTGCCCACGTTGACGGAGGAGGAGGAGGAGGCGGCGATGGTAGGGTTGGTCAAGAGTCTCTTGTGGATGACGTGGTGGCTGCATCCACTAGCGCCATTTGTTTTGTCAAGCAGGAATGGGGTGATAACGCACCTGATGTAGTTGGTGCTGTGTGCCTTTGGGCTTATGTGGATCTCCTCTTACTGGAGAAGGACACCACAATGAGGCTGAAGTATTACGAGGAGTTCCTGCACCTGTGCCAGTGCGGGAGCCACAGCACATTCCTGCAGCACACACCCGAAAGCATCCACCGGGACATGTTTCTGTTGACTGGTGGGAAGGGTCTGTGGATGCAGGGACTGTCGCTGCTACACCTTGCCGAGGGTCTGTCCAAGGAGTTCCAGCTGCCAGTCGAGGCGTACCGGCAAGTCATGCGAGCATGTTTGATGCATCGGGTTCCGATACCCGCGTACGTGCGCGAGAAGGTTGGTGGTGGCGCAACAGGATAAAGGCGGTGATGGCTTTTTGTGTCTCTGTATTTGAAGGGGGGCAAGGGGGCTGTGCTCACACCTGAAATGACGTTGTGTACTTCCCCATCCCATTGGCTTATGAGGGACCACACATTGTGGTGGACGGAAGGTCTGTGCCGTGTGGGAGAAGCCGTCTTTCTGTTATGTTCACTATATATCGAAGTATATATATATATATATATATATATATTAGATAGATAGATTAATATATTACTCTTCGTTGCACCAGCAGCAGCTGTATTTCTTCTTTTCGTCTCTGCAGGTAGTGGTATGCCCATAGCAGGGACGCAGCCGAAGTAATGCTGAACGCCGCCATTTACGAGCGCACACAAATCTTAATCGGGGACGATGGGGTGCGCAAACTACAAGACGTCAATGTGTTTCTTGCCGGCGTGGGTGGTGTCGGTGGTCACTGCGCCGAGACCCTTGTTCGAAGTGGTGTTGGCCGCATCACCATCTGCGACCACGACGTTGTCTCCTCGACCAATAAAAACCGCCAGCTCGTTGCACTCGACAGTACCATTGGGAGGAGCAAGGTTGAGGTGCTCGCGAAGCGCCTGCAGGATATTAATGCACACTGCCGCGTGACGGCACTCGATGCCCTGCTGTTACCGGAGGACATGCAGGACATTTTGACACGCCAGCGCTACAGTTATGTCGTTGACTGTATCGACAGCGTTGACTGCAAGGTGGCGCTTCTCGCCACGTCGGTGCAACTCGGTCTCAGTACTTTCTCGTCTTGTGGGGCAGGCAGCCGCCTTGATCCATCACTCGTCACCACCGGCGACCTCTTTGACACAGAGAACGACGCACTCGCACGCTGCTGCCGCAATGAGCTGCGCAAGCGTGGCCTGGGACCCGGCAAGATCACGGTCGTGCACAGTCGCGAGACGGCACTGCGGCCGCTAGAGCCGCAGCGGCAGGAGTCCGGTGGGCGAGATCGCGCCATCAACGGAACTATCAGCTACATGCCACCGCTATTCGGCCTTCTGCTCGCCGCCGCGGTGGTGCGCCACGCCCTGGACCCCGAGAAGGCGCGGCTGGACGTTGAACGGCGCCTCAAGAAGGCACGGAAGGAGGAGGCGAACCGTGCAAAAAACAAACGGCAAAAAACAGGAGGTAAATGAGCGAGGCACAGAGCGTAGATATGAGAAGAGGTAGTGCGTCTGCTCCATTACCCTTTTTTGCTTCTTAATTTTTTGGATCACAGGAAGTGTGTGTAATTGAGGGCGAATGCCAGCACGGGTTGGGCGTATGATGTGCGTTTTGTTCTCTTTCCCCTCTTTTCTGCGGCCGTCTCGCGTTCGTGTTTTGTTTCGCGGTGATTGTTAGATATCGTGGATTTTCGTTCGCCAGCACGCTGATTCACACACACACACACAGAGAGAGAGAGAGAGAGAGAGAAATACACGCAGCACAGGTACGGTGATGGCGGCGGGACCAATTGGAAATGGAAAAGGGGACGAGAGGCACCTTCAACATCATCATGATGATCAACAACCGCAGTATCACCACCGCACCATCTGGGGACGGCTTGCGATCGCCGAGACACCGTACCCTGTTATCGCTGCAGATGATGTGGCCATCAGTCTTTACGCCAACAGAATATTGTTTCGCGTAGCGCCGTCGACGTTCACTGTCACCGTATTCCTGCGCGACGTGACGCGATTTGTCTTCTTCGCGGAGGAGAACAGTATAGAGATTCAGGTCGCTCGAGAGGATGGTGGCTCTCGCGCATACATAGTCACATGCCAGGAGCCCGGCGTGGCTCTGATGCTCTACGACGTAATGCTGCCGCTGCTTCCGAACGACGCGGCGGACAGTTCGCTTGGCCAGGCAGTGACGCTGCCGACATACACCACCGACTACCCCTTTCTACTCCTCTCGCTTAGCATGATGGAGGAGGCGGGCTTCTACGAGCTGTGCCCACGGAGCGAATTGGCACCAAGTGCACGGCCGCTGAACTTGCGGAGCCCCACGACGCGGCTTTTCTTCCCCACCAAACAGCGCGTCCTGCTGCCGTCGGGGAAGCCGCCTGGGACGCTGGCCAACTCGCTGCAGGAGCGTCTGGCGGCGCCACGGGAATCCCCGCAGGCCATTAGGGCCGTTCCACCCAGACACAACTTACCTGCTGCTTCCCCCAAGGAGATCTCTCGTCGTGTTGAAAGTCTTCAAAGGGGCTCTGAAGGCGCAAGGACGGGCTCGTTGAAGGAGCAGAAGCTGCCATTGCGGAGCGAACCCTTCGCTGAGGACGGACCGCAGCTTGTGATGTATGACGTGGTGAGTGGAGAACAAATATACGACAGTGGTTCTGATAGGCCCCCCGATACGCCGTCGCTGTTGTGGGTTAGTCCCGGTCTTGGTGACACCATCACTCCCTCCTCAAGCCCCCCGTCAAGGTCCAAGTCGCCAAACAGTGCGGGCGCTGTTGCATCACCGCCCACGCAGCAGCAGGAGGAAGAGGAAAAGCAAAGACAACAACAACAAATACAACGGAGAAGCGGCGCCTCGTACTTATATACCTTAACACCGGCTGAAAAAAGCCCATTGGTACAGCGGCAAAATGTGACACCTGGCGCCTTCCGCATTGGGAGTGGCATTGTGGGAGGTCAAGGGTCGCGCTCTATTTCGCCCCACTCGCATTGGTGTGGCGTTGCGTCTTCACCAGTGCCGTTGCGTCTGCCGGAACGTAGTCCCTCAGAAGCATCTTTAAACCAGCAGGCCTACAGCGTACAGGTAGGTTATGGCCCTACGGCAGGAGTGTGAAAAGCACAGAGAATGACTCCTGCCCTATCGAACCATTTCTCTGAGCGGTTTTTTTTTTCACACCTCTTTTTCCCCCTTTTTTTTGCGAGTTTGTAGTCGGAAGCTCGACACGAGTGCATTTTACCCAGTTTCCCTCATTGTGTGGGACAGTTTTCTCTAAATGAGCTCTTTTGTACACATGTACGCCCCCCCCCCTGTTTCTTTCCGACTTCCCTATCACCATACACTTCTGCTGGCGAAGCTTCTGAGCTGCTGTTGATGCTCTCGCCTGCGATCTCCTCTTTGCCTTAGAACTTAGACAACACTTCAGACCTCTTTACAAATTTTTTTTGTTGGCATGATGCCACCAATGCGTGTTGCACTATGCCTACTGTTTACGCTGTACTTCGCTATATCACCTGTTGCCGCTCAAAATCCGCTTATGGACGGGTATGATGGTCTGAAGAGAACTCAAATCGATGAGGACCACCCCATCCATCATCTGATGCCGGATCCCGCGGAGAACCCGGAGCTGTACCTTCCACTCAAGTGCTCTGCGTGTGGTGCTGTCGTAGAACAGGCGGTCTATCTCCTGCGCAACGTCATTGCTCGGCATTTGGTCCGCAAGGAGCGCGCCGCACGGAGCGGTGGGCAAGCGTCGCGCAGTGAGCGGCCAAAGGAGTACGAGACGGTTGACGCATTGGAAAACCTCTGCCGCCAGGTGGGACAGGAGTACGGAGTGGAGCTGCGTGAGGATGGCCTTCCATCGCTATTCTTCTCCAGGAGCCACATTGTGGAACGCGTTAGTGGGGGGTGGATGCCGCTTTTCCTCGCCTCCACCTGCGAGGAGCTGCTGGACGAGCGGGAGGAGCAGCTCATATCCGCCATCTTTTCAGCGGCGGAGGAGGTTGAGATAAATGAGGTTGCGAAACGTGCGCGGGAGTTGGTATGCACGCGATGGGAGCGCTACTCTAAGGGCTGTGATTCACGTGGCGTGCCGATAGATCCGAGACCAATGAAGTCGGCAGACCTCTAAGAGGATGTTTTTTTTTTTTTTNTTTTTTTTTTGTGTGTGTGTGGTGGGAAGAGAGAGATTATGTATTGCCGTTATTGTGCGCCAGTTGTTATTATTAGACACCTATTCATACTTTTTCCATCTTGTTGTGTGCTTACCATGGTGTTATATATGGCTTCGCATGTTTGGTTGGGCTGTATGGCCCGTTATATCTGCTCGTTGCTAAGCTTTACATGCACAAACTTTTTTTTTTTACTTTTGTTGTGGTGGGGATTTCTGTTTTTTTTTTTTTTTGTTTTGTTGAGTGGGGTTGGGCGGCCAGGCACGAATACCTTTCCTGTGCAGGTATTCATATATGAGGATATATATAAATATATATATATTGTAGTTTAGTTGGCTCGGGCATAAAGTGAGAGGAAAGACCTTTACGGGATCACTGCCACTCAACAACGCTGGGGAAGTAAATCCCGCAAGGTTTTCATCGTGCGCTTGAGAGTCGCTGTGCGTGCGGCTTGGTGAAGGGCAGGCTAGAGGAATGACAGATGAACACGACAACGCCGTAGCGCAACCGAACGAGGGGACGTCCTCCACTGTCGTGGAGCACCTTCGCAATGCCATTCGGCAAGCAATGAAGGACCCGGAAACGACGGAGGTGGTGGAGCTACTCTGTGACAACAATGGATGGACAGTTGAGGACTTCCTGCAGACACCACATGTCTTCACTACGATGGAATTGTTCCTCCTTTCAACGCCACACCTTCCGCAGCTGCGACTCTTCCCTTACTTGACTGTTGTGAAGATTATACACGTTGGTCTTACCAGCATGGAGCCCTTGTCCCATCTACACCACGTGGAGGAGCTGTGGCTGAATGAAAACAATATTCGCGTTATTGAAGGACTCCAGAACATGCACCGACTACAGCAACTCTTTCTGCAGGGGAACCTCATTGAATCTATGGACGGTATTCCTCATCTTCCTCAATTACGGAGCTTGTGGCTCTGTGGTAACAGCTTGCAGCACATCAAGGGTCTGGGCTCTTTCCCAAAGTTAAAGTCACTCTGGGTCGCCTCGAACCGCATCGCAACGCTAGAAAATACCTTCACGCCCACTATGGTGTCTTTGGAGGATATTAATGTGGCAAACAATCCAATTTACTTCTTTGGTCAATTGACTCATTTGGGGGTCCTCAGGTCGCTACGCAGCCTCTGGCTTGGCGATTCCATGTATGGCGACGCCCCCGTTTGTCACCTGAGCAACTACACAACTTTTACACTGCGCCATCTGCCGCAGTTAGAACAACTAGACGGTGTTGCCATTACAGTGGAACAGAGATCGCTTGCAGTATCTGTGTATGCAAAGAAGAGCATCTATTACAGTATGCGCGGTGCAATATTAGATAGGAACATCGCAGCGCTCCTTGATCAGTTACAGCACGAGGCTGAAAGCAAGAGAAATATGGCTCGTGAGGCTTTGCGCCAGCTAGATTTGGAAATCTTAGAATTGAGCGAGTCTGGACACGGTGCCAAACCGGAAAGCCGAGATGCGACGGAAGATGAGAAGGCACACATTTTCAAGGTTCAACGGGCTCGTGAGACGCGGGAAGTGGAGCTGGAGGGAATTGAGCGCCAGCTGCTGGAGGCACAGCAACGCACCATCTTCGAGTCGGATATTCTACATGAGCGCCTGTTGTTGGAGTTGAATTCATGCGGTAACATTCGTCTGGAGGAAGGTACCGAAGCAGACAGTTGGTGCGCAAGCGCGAAGGAGATGCTGAGCACTCGCTTCGATGCGCATCTGTATGAGGCGGTGGGAGTCACCGGTGTCAAGGCAAACCGCGTTTTCCGCATCATGTGTCAAGGATTGCGCGAGCGCTTCGACAACCGCATGCGTGAACTCGACATTGATCTCGCCGATACACGCAACCGCCGTGCCTTGGTGCGGCTCTTCAGTGCGGTCCCACGGCGCCCGCAGGACCAGCGCAGTTTCCTGCATGAAGTGATGATGAATGGCTTCACTAACCTCTACCCGGAGGACGAGGGAGTGGCGCTGACAAATAGTCTGTACTACGCTGACCAGGAGCGGCTGTTATCGGTGGGCAACTACCGCGACATTTACGGCTTCGCTCTACCCTCCGAGTCGCTCTCCGGACAGGTGGTGGTGTGGCGACTGTTCCTCGGCAAGTGCGTGGCAGAGATGGGTGGTGGTCGCAACTCCACTGGAAACAGCGAGCAGCCGTTCATGAAGCGGGATCGACGCCGCGTGACGCGGCAGCAGTACGGAGAAGAGGTTTTCTCTATTCACCGCGCCTCCCCACATGACTCGTCTGTGAAGGTGTGGCACATGTTCGATAAGTGCCTCGCGCTGCCGGAGTATGTGATTGACTTCACGTACACTACCAAGGCGCATCTACATGTCAACCCTGCGCTGTCGATCTACGATGATGGAGCAGCGCTCCGGGCACTGTTGGAGCAGGTGCTGCCGGAGAGCGCACACGACGGCGTCAACGATACACGCACTGTTGGATATCCATTGCTTTCCTTCCTCAACTGGCTCAAGTCCAACACCTTCCACGTTTTTGCTGTTGAAGAGACGGAGAATACTATGCGGAACGCAAGGGAGCTGCATCGACCAAAATATTCCACCTTCCACGCAAGCGGCCCCCTCAGCAACGATGTGATCGAGTCGTACGCAAGGCACATAGGATGCACCGCAGGTGATTCCATGCCGCATTGTAGCATATTACATCAGCAAATCACGTCCATTCCAGAGGTGCTGTCCCCCAAAATGTTGGTGTCCCTCAAGAAACTACTTCTTCATAATAACAAGATTTCATGTGTTGCGTGGAAGGCGCTGTCCTCGGCAGCGCCACTGTTGGAGCAGATCGATCTGGGCCACAACGCTCTCGGGCGCGTTGAGTTTGCGGGCGCGGAGTTTCCCGCCCTCCATACACTCTGTCTGAGCTTCAATCAGCTGCATACGCTGGAGGATTTGTTTCAGCTCCGCCGGGGCGCACCACGCCTGAACGACTTTCAAATGGATCACAACCCGTGGATGCTCGACAAAGCGGCGGAGGTGTTTTGCTTTGCGCTGCTGCCGCAGCTGCAGCACCTCAACGGTGTTGCGGTTTCGCGTCGTGCGTATCTAACGTTTCTCCGAAAGCGCACAATTAACTTTGATCAGATGGCGTTGCAGTACATTATTTCGGAAGAGCACAAACGACGCGGGGAGTGTGCCGCGCTCACGGGATTGCTCCGAAGTGGCGGCGACGATGATGACAACAACAACAACGCACATGTTTTGCGGGCGCGCTCCTTTGAACAAGTGTTTGCGGAGCTCGCGGAACAGACAGATGCCGACCGTGCGCTCCACTTGTCAGCGAAGAAGGAGACTTTATTGCCGCCTCTAAAGACTGCCCGCGCGTTTTGTTTTCGTCTCAGCCTGATGCGTAGTCTTGAATGGGTGACGTGGCTGCCACAGTTGCGTCACCTCAGCTTGTCATCACACGTCATTGAGGACCTCACGCCCTTGGGGGAGTTGCGGCACCTTAGGACGCTGAATGTGAGAGACAATATGGTGACGTCGGCCAAGCCTCTCAGCGGCCTCCGGTTGGTGTCGCTGGACTTGTCGCAAAATAAGCTGCACGCGACGGAAGGGCTGGAAAAGCTGAGCGAGTTGCGATTTCTCTCGATTGGCCAGAATTCCATTATGAATATGTCCGCGCTGCAGAACTGCGTGTCCTTGGAGGAGCTCTACTTCCCCGACAACTTGGTCGCCAAGGTGCGTGACCTGTACCCACTGCATCACCTGCCGAAACTCGTCTCGATGGATGCGGCAGGGAACCCGTGTGCCGGCCGAACAGACACGGAGGGGCGCAGTGAGTTCCGCGATTACCTCATCTACAACCTATCCAAGTTAAAGGTGCTCAACGCGGTGCCAATCAGCGAGGCGGATCAACAGCGGGCGAGGGATGTCTTCGCCGGCCGCGTAAACTCGGAGCTGCTTGTCGAGCGCGCGGGGACGCCTGGTCTGTGGAGCAACGCGCAAGAGGTGGACCTTTCGCAATGCGGTCTGCGCGAGGTGATGATGCTGGAGCCATTCACCCGCCTAAAGGTACTACACCTCCACCACAACTCTCTCATGCGTATTGATGGCCTTCTGCCGCTACGCAACCTCGTCGCGCTGAACCTCTCACACAATCGACTAGGTCAGTGTGCAGTGGGTAACGCGCTGCAGCACCTTGATAGCCTTCGATCGCTCTCGCTGGAGAGCAACCACATCACCGACGTCGCTGCGCTGGGCCTTAAGCTGTCCCGTCTAAAATTCCTGAACCTCAAGGGCAACGAAATTGTCTCTATTGAGCAAAGCCTGCATGGGCTCACAGACCTACGAGAGCTATTGCTGGACAACAACAAGCTGCGCTCGTTGGGGCCTGACTGCTTTTCAAGCAACCTGCAGCTCACGGACATCTCCGCTGAGGAGAACTATATTCGCTCCACAGAGGGGCTGCAGCCGCTGGTGTGGCTTGAAGTGCTTAGTCTCGGCTCTAACCGCCTTAGCGATCTTCGGCTGCTACTCAATGACCTCCGCAACGCAAGCTGTCTGGCAACCGCGACGTTTATTGGGAACGCCGTCGCGCGCAAGTCGCCGTACCGTTCACAGACGATTGCCGCACTGCCGGCACTGACGATGCTTGACCACAAGGAGGTGACCAACGAGGACCGCGAGAAGGCTGAGCTTTTGCGAGCTGCTGAGCTCTCGACGCCACACAACGTTGTGCTTGACCCCTCCTTTCCTGTTGAGGCGGTTGGTGGCGTGCGGCTGGGCGGCGCGGTGAGCCCGGCACGTGCGCTGTCGCACCAGCCGCCCCGCTTCCCTGTGCCCGTTAGCCAGCGGCTGCAGCTGCCGGCGTATAAGAACGCCCGCTCGGCCTCGCAGATGCGGGAGAACGGAGGCAAGACGTTTGCGTCGCGTGTGCCGGGGAGCCAGTGAGAATGTACAGTTATTGACCGTGGTTGGGGCGGGGTTCCTCTTCCACCGCCCCCGGCGTTTGAATGCTCTTCGGGTTATTCCCGTTTGCCCCACACCGTGTGGTGTTCGGTTGTTTCGCCGGCAACAGCGACGGTGCGGGGGCAACGAAGAGGAGAGTAGCCGGAGAAACACACAAAAAAAACAAGCAAACAAACAACGAGAAGAAACAAACAGAAACACAGCTGAGATAACTCCAAAAGATGGAAAGGAAAGGAGGAGAACAGAAAAACAAGAAAGGTGAAACCACAAAAAAAAAGAAATTGTAAAAACAAGGTCTGGCTGTGGACGGCGTCTGACAGTCAGCGTCTCTCTGATGTCGTCCTGTGAGGCCATACAACTCTGGAAATGGAACCAACAAAGCAAACTTCCCACACGAAACCACTACAAAAGAGGGGCCCAGTGGGGCGGGTGCGAGGTACGCTCAGGGATGTAGAAAACAAATGATACCCATCGCATGATGTGTTGCTCTCTTCTTTTCGTGTTTGCTACTTGCCTTAGCTGGTCGTTGATTGGTGGTGAGGGGAGGCACCCGTTTCTGCTCGTGGGTGAGTGTAGCGTTATAGCGATGGACAAGGCCAAGACACTGGAGGTGCTGCGCGGCATGAAGTTCATGCAGCGGAAGGAGGAGACAAAGCGCCGCGAGCTCTTTGAGGTTGACCAGCAGAAGCAGCTGGAAAAGCGGCTGCGCGCGGCAGCTGGTGCAATGGACGGCGACCCCACGGTGCCCCTCAGCCACGCGCAACCTGCAGGAAAGGTATCAGGCTTTGCGACCATCGTGTACGACAACAGTTTCCCGAGGGAGTCATACAACCTTGCGCGGCGCTCCTTCTTTCGCAAGTCGAGTCCTCCTCCCTCTGCCTCTGTTGCGGCTACGGCGGAAGACGCCATGGGTGGCAGTGATTTGCGGGCGAAGCGTGAAAGGGACGCAGAGAATTGCGGCGTTGGCGACCAAAGGGAGGAGGAGGAGGAGGAGGATGCCAGCAGTGATGGGTGCGATGATGCTGGGGATGACCCGACGGCGGTGGGCGGCGGCAGCACGAGACGATTCTGCGTCAGGGTGAATGCGCCGGTGCTGCCGAAAGGACTCGCGCGGCAGGTGGCCAATGAAAGGGAACAGAAGCGACGGCGGCAGGAGGAAAGGGAGGAGGAATAACTGCACGGCGTACGGCAACTTCCCACCTCTGTGCTAGGAGTTAAGGTTAAGAAAGAGTGATGGTCATGGGGATGGCGCTGTTTGTGGTTGCTGTTGGCGGTAGTGGCCTCAGCATTCAGCCATGCGAAACGTATCCACTATATATATATGCGCCGCGATAGGCATGCGCCAAACACATGCACACACCTTCAAGGCGAAGGCGTAGTATCGCAATACGTCCATGCGTGCGCTATCTATTATTCAAGGAATTATTCTTCTTCGATCTTCTCTCGATGCCTATATGCGTGTCTTAGGGAAGGACGCAACACCCGCAGTGGCTTATCCATGTCGCAACAGCAACAACAACAACAGCAGCAGCAGCAGCAGCATTGTGGCGCTCAGAGCAGTGCCGTCACTGCCGCCAGACATGAGGCAACGGTGGAGGACAACTTTGCTGCCATGCGTCACGCGGCGATGTCGATGTTCAAGCAGCGCACAAAGGATCTCACAATGGTGTCCGCCTTGACGGCTGAGGCAGAGGAAGTAGAGCAGCTCAACAATCAGGTGCAGTCGACTATTAACCAGATGCAGGAGCAGAAGGCGGCTCTGGAGGCACAGATTGAGACAGAAGAACGGCGTGTAAAGGCGCGGGAGGAGCATTTGCGCGAGGTACACGCGATGCTCGCACAGATGAAGGAAGACCAGAGCGTCTTCTTGGGAGTGCAGCGCGCCTCCGAGAAGGTGATCATGACGCTGCGGAGCTTTGTCACGCGGTACACCGCCAAGGATGGCGATATTTCGCGTCTTCTGGAGCGCTCCCACGAACGCGTGCAGGGGCGGGCACCGAATGAGTGGCGGGCGGCGGGGAACGATCTCCGCAGACGCCAGGCGCTGCTGCAGGAACACGCCAAGCACATGGAGCGGCACCACACCGTCCCGCACGGCTTTGGCGAGGTGCTGCTCGAGTGGTCGCGTGGGGTGTGGCAGCAGCAGCCTGAGTTCGCCCCCGCGCTACTGGTGTGCGAGCAGCTGTTGCACTATGATGCGGCAGCAGCGGCCCGCGCAAACATGCCGCCGCCGCCGCCTGCGTGCTGCGACTCCGCAGGCGAAGTGGCGTGCGCTGCACAGGCAGAGGCGAGTTTGCGTGAGCTTGACGCTCTCGTCACGGTGGGCACGGCGATGGAGCAGGAGAGTGAAGCCGTGGGCCTCTGCTGCGCCGTTGTCCCGCGCGAGCGGGTTGACGCGCTTCATGCGCAGTGGCAGGCGGTCCTCCAGTCCTGTGTGGGCCTTGACGAGGCGGCCGCCGCGTCGAGTGAGATCACACGACAGCTGGAGGAGGAGCTTGCATTGGTGGCACTCCTCTCACAACGCGCGCTCGTGCTGGAGGCGCAGGTGGCGGGAGCCGAGGCCAACGTGCAACATGAGGCTGTCACAATGCAGCATGAGACTGATATGCATGACAGCCTGCTCTCATCCTGGCGCAAGGCGCTGCAGACGTCGCTGGCGCACATGCAGCAGGAGGCCACATATCAGGCCGCAGTGTGTGCGAGTGATGGCGAGGCGGCGCGGCTGGAGGCGGAGTTGGACGCACAGACAGCGGCCATGGAGGCGCAGTGGATGGCTCTTCACACACAGGCAACACAACTGTACACGGCACTCTTGCTGGAGGAGCAGGAGAGAGTGGTGGCGTTGTGTGACTTGCGGGGCGCAGAAGACGAGCAGAGGGCCGAAGAGGCACGGCTGCTTACTCTCCGCGACGAGGCTGCCGCACTCGAAAGCGCATTGCGGCAGGAATGTGAGAAGATGAGCCGCGGCCCTTTTGCTGACCCGCACGACGCCCTCCAGGCACTGGAACCACAAGGTGAGGATGCGCAGAAGGAGGGGGGAGAAGAAGAACAAGCGGAGGAGGCGGATGCTGCGCGTCTTGATGCAGAGAGCAAGCTGCTGCTGCAGGAGCTTCAACGCTGTGCAGATGAGGGGGAGGGCAGAGACGGCGTCGATGCCGCGATCATGCGGCGCGTGACTGAATGCGCGGCGGCGCTGCAGCAAGAGACAGACAGGGCGGCGGCAGCCCACCAGGCCTGGCTGCTCAGCACGGATGAGGAGCTTGCTGATCTATCCGCCGATGGGTAAGATTTCGTGGTGTCCTTTGTTTATTAGTATTATTATTATTTTTTTTATTTTGGCACGTATGTCTTTCCTTTCGTGCGTTGTTATTTGTTTCCCGGAGCTTGGGCTTTTGTTTGCAATGTTTCTTCACAGGGAGCGCGTGGCCCGCCGTGCCTGCACACGCAGTGTGGTGCGGTCCCCTCCATACACACACACACACTCACATACGATATGGGTGGTCTTTGCGTTCACCGGCACCACGCCATGAAGGCGACGCCTCCGCAGTGCTCCGGTGGCGACACTCCACGAAGTGCCACGCTGTATTTCGCTCCCACATTCTCGTTCTCACGCCAACCAGAAAAGGAAAACGAAAAACACGCCCTTACGGGTAAACCACTACAAGTAAACCAAACCTTGCTGGAGAGGGATGAGGTGCCCCTGGCGATGCCATATCGTGTTGGTGGTACTGCTGCTGCTGCACCTGATTGGGGTGACGGAGGCAGGCCTCTTCGGCGGGGGCGACAGCAACGACCTCTACGCTCAGCTCGGCCTTAAGCGAGGAGCGACGAAGGACGAAATCAAAAAGGCATTCCGCAAGTTGACACGCGAGCACCACCCCGACCTGCAGGAGACGCTGGAGGAAAAAGATGCAGCGAAGGAGCACATGGTGAAGGTGCTTCGCGCCTACAAGGTGCTCTCCGATGACATTCAACGGCAGGACTATGACCGCTTCGGCAAGATTCCTGGCGAACAGCTGAACGCTGCAGACTTTACGGCAGATGAACTATTTGAGCACTTCAGTCAGCAGTCGCCGATCCTCTCCAAGACGCGACAGCTCGAGTCACTACGCCTGCTGCGGCGGATCCTTAACTTCCGCGGAAACCGCGTTTTCCTCGTGCAAGTCTACGACGACACGTGTAAGTCGTGCCGCTGGTTCGCGCAGACTTGGGAGAGTTTCGCTCAGTCAAGCATGGTGGAAGGGTCTGTTGTGGAGATGCTGCGCATCGACGCATACGCTCCTGAGGGACCGTCGCTGCTGAGCGCACTCGGCATCAAGTATAAGGCGGAGGTTCAAGTGCTCGCTATTGTGGATGGGGAACAGTGGCAGATGCCGCAATTGGCATCGGCGCTAAAGTCAAAGAGTGCACGCTCTGCGTTCTCTGGCCTGCATGATTTCATCATGAATTTCTTTCATGACAAACAGATGGAGACGATGTCACTGAAGTCGGAAGATAATCCACAGTCCATTCTTAAATGGCTGCAAGAGGAACGTGGCCCTGACAACACTGTGCGTGTTCTGGCGCCTCCATTGGCGCGGGAAGGCATCGTGCTCACGCTGTCTGTGCTGCACGAAGACGTGGCGGTGTTCCGTTCGGTGCCACGAGCGGCGCTTCTTAGCTTCATTGATGAGATCTGCGGACAAACCGTGGAGGTGCGCAACCGTGACGGCGAAGTTGTTCCGGTTCCGGAGTTTGTGGTGGTCTCCCTGGGGCGGCTCCCCAACGCCACCGAGGCTGTGGCAGATGAGGGGCTGAACGGTACGGACAGCTGCAGGGGAATTCACGTCGGCGCCAGCGCGGCTCTTACGTACCGCAAGGCAGCAACGTTTGTGAAGGATCTGTTGCCGCCGCGCCATTCAGGAATGGTCGGCATTCCGTATATGACGGGAATGTTGTTTTATGAAATGTGCCGACAACACTGCCTCATATGGGTGCGTGACAGCTGCAAGGATGAGCCACGAAGCACGTGGATGGATGTCCTGCGCGGTGACTACAAACCCTTTGGTGTTGGGTACGTCTGTATGGACGAGGAGGTCGCTCTGCGTGCCGTTCTGCTACCGACAGCAACAGCAACACCTACGAAGGACATGCTCGTGGCAATTGTGGACGGCGACGAGGACAAACTACATGTTTTAGAGTGCGACCCCCAACAGAAACACATCTCAGAGGCTCTGTCGCGTCTCCTGCTCGCCGAAAATGAGGATCATCCAATGGAGCTTTCGGCACCACTATCGCGTTTGTTGACGTCTCGGACGTTTCAGTTGTCACAGATGCAATATTACTACCTGTTGTTCCAGAGTTTAATCGGTGTCCTCTACCCGATCGGCTCTAACTGCTACCCGTTTCTCATGATGTTCATCATGCACAAGGTGCTCCAGCGGTTCAACCTCTTGGGGAACAACGACGCCAGTAACAACACCAGTGGGACACAACGTGGAGGGACGTCAAACTCGTCAACCTCCACTTCTGCTCCTCCCACTACTTCTGCTGCTGCTGCTGCTGGTGGTGGTGGTAGTGGTAACACAAACAAGGGAGGAATTCGTTCGTACACTGCGGCAGATTTGGAAGCAGCCAAAAGTGGACGGGGATTTCTTATTTTGTTGTTTCAAGATGGTGACAAGCCATGCCCTGCATTGCCAAATGTGGCTAACGACGCACGCTTCACTCTGCGTCTAGTGTCGCCCAAAGATGCAGTATGGGGTCCATGGCTTGCACTGCGGCAGCCTCAAAGTGCCAAGGATGCACCAGATACCGGTAAGCGAGTTGATGCAGTTGCCGTGCGGCAGGGAAGGATGACGGCAGCAGTGAAGCCGCCATATGCAGCGTTGGATTCGTGGCTGTGTGACCTTCTCGATGGTACCGTCACGGCGAGTTTGTCGCTCCCTACCGAGTAATGCCACAGCGTCTCCCACATGCGGTGCAGCTGTCTAACGTGTTCTTCTTTTTTTTTCCTGATCGGGTGAAATATAATATGCTGCGCAATTTGTATTTGAGCCGAACGGGAAACCGGAGACAGTCTAGTGGCTGGTGCCTTGTTGTTTCCTTCCTTCTGGGCCCCATTGTACTTTGTCTTGCATGCCACTGCTCCCTCTCACCCGCCTCTGCCTCTCTCTCTCTCTCTCTCTCTGTTCTTTCTGCACCCCACAGAATATCGAGAACCTCTGTAGCATTCACAAAATGAGCGCGCCGGCGGACAACACGGCCGCCATCTACGCGCGTGCGGAAGAGGCCCAACGCAGCGGGGTGAAGCTGGAGCCGGTCCCTGCCTTCAAGCTTTACAAGACGGCGCGCGAGGAGGAACTCAACAGCTACCGCAGCCTGTCCCGCGCGTTTTTCATGAAGACAGGGGGGAAACTGAGCAAGCAGCAATCACGTCTGCTAGAGGATGTGAGGGACGAGCTCTGTATATCGGCAGAGCGCGCGAATGCAGAGATGTTAGCAGCGTTGGATGATACACTGGTAACCAGCGTCGCCGCCTCGGGGGTGCTCAACCGACGTGAAGACTTCTTCGATGGTGTTGCAGATGTGGCGCTGGAAGCCCTGCGCGATGGTGAGATGGCGCAGGATGATAATAGGTCAATGTTCGTGCCACCAGCGAAGCGGCCACGCACGGAGCACATGACAGCTGCTGTTACGTCTGGTTCGTGGCGCCGTGGGACACCTCATAAGACCCCACAAGCCGCGTTATTAAAAACCATAGATAAAATACACCATGAGATTGTACTAACCGGGAAGAAACTACTCTACAGTGCCTCGCCAGTCGAACAGCAGACGTACCAGCAAACACTGTTGGAAAAGAAAAAACAGCTGCAGGAGCTATTGAAGGAGGTGGAAGGCAGCGGTGTCGATGTATCGGGGAGTTCTAGCGTGAACCCCTCTGAGCTTGGCTATTGACGTGTACCTTCCCACTACCGTCACCCCCTGTTCCATCGCCTATAGACGATGGAATGGTATTCCGTTGAAGTGAAAACACAAAATCAAACAACGACAACAAACAAAAATAATACACACATGCGTGTGCACGCGTTCGTCGCAGCATGGGCCTCCAGTGTGTTTCTCGCGGGGTGCGATGGGTCACATGCACCTTCCAATTCACCTCTCGACATAGTAGTGATGCTTCTCAATAGTGAAGGTGTTTCTTGCGAAGAGGCGATTTTTTTTTCCTAATCGCGGACGCGTCGCTGCGCTTTGGTCTCTTTTTTTGTTGGCTTGTACTCAAAAATAATAAAAAAATTTTAAAAAAAAGTGTCTTGTTTCCTGTATGCGATGCACGGTCTGTAATCCTTGGCGTGGTGCTTTCAAGTGCCGGAGGAAGCAGTACCATGGGGTGCGCGCCGCGGCCCAGTTCATTGCGTCATTGCTGCGCAGTACTCCTCTATCGGCACCCCCGGGGTCGAGTGACGTGTGTCACGAGCAGCTGGCAGACGCGTTGCTGGGTGTTCCGTCTTCGTTGGCGCACGAGGGGCCACTCCATTCCAGCCACCTGACTGCCTTCGCAGCCCTTCGCGAGGGGGAGTTGGTGCACATGTTTGGCGGTGCTATGCCGGCGGAATTGGAAGCGCCACCCTCAAGGCACGTGTCAGAGTTGTGGTCCCCCGCACTGCAGCAGAGGTACGTGCGTGAAAGGCTGTGTGCACGGGCTGCGGAGTCCAAAACGGCCATGCCTCCCCGCTTGGAGGCCGGCTTGGCTGCGCTTCGTGTCTTTGGTAATGTGGAACAAAGGACGCCGCCTGTAGGTGACTGCAGCTGTGATAAGAAGGTGAGCGTCTCCGTCAAGAGGGAGTTGCATGAGGGCGATCTGCCCCCGGAAGAATGGCAGGCCAGGGCACAACAATGGCGCAAACTCATTGACGCCTACACGCTGATGTTGCCAGACCGCTCACCGCTGCATGAGTTGGAGAACCTGCCACAGGAAATTGCCATTGGCGGGTTGCTGTCATCCGCGCTCGCCTTGCTCAAGGAAACCGGCGGCGAGACAAACCTCCGAACGATTATAGATGTCGGTGGGGGCAATGGCTTCCTAGCAGCGCAACTGGCAGAGCGCTTCAAATGCGAGTCGCTTATAATTGACCCGTTTACGCCCACACACGCCATCGACAATGAAGAATTCCTGCACTGGACGGAGACGCCGAGGCTTCGACCACGTGCGCCACGTCGTTACCCCCTTCATCGCATCACATGCCGCCTGCCGGATGTGGACTGGCGCAGCACCTCGGTGGAATTTGACCGCTCGGCCATGATTGCAAAGCATCTGTGCGGCACCGCCATTGATGTATGTTTGCGTCACCTGCACGCACTAGAGAAGCTGCCCCGCGTAGTGGTGGTTGTGCCCTGCTGCTTCAACAAAGGCTTCTACGCTGATTACTGCAACCCCACGTATCTCCACGACGCGGCCTCTCTGAATTCGGATCTGGCATGGAATCGATGGTCGCGGCTGACCGACTGGAATCGCTCGTGCTACCAGTGGGTGGATGACTCTTTTTCGGGCACTGTCAACGCCGCTGGTTGTTTGACATGCGACACCGAAGGCACAAGAAGTCGGCGTGAAGGTAAAAAGAAAGTAGCACACTTTCTGCCATGCATGGATGATGTCGCCACAATGGTGGAGGCTGTCATCAACCACGGGCGCGTACTATGGCTGCGCAGTGTGGGGTACCACGCATCTACCGTTGAATACGTCCCACGCTGCGTGACGCCGAAGAATTGTGCCATTGTGGCCGTGCGACGTTCTTCCTTCAGGTCTTTTTCACTCCCATAGCCTGAGCATCATACGAATCATCAGTGCCAAATGGTTTGTGATAGCGAATTCTCTTCCTTGCTCTGTTGTTCGCTCTATTCTTCCGTTCCTTTGTTTTTTTTTCTCTTTTTACGGGCGCTCAGCTCCCCCTAATTAAAGCAACACTTCATAGTGAACCGACTTGTTGCCCCACTGAATTTCCTCTCACTCAGCAACACTGCCTCCCCCCTCACCAGGCGAGGCTTAAGGGATATTTCAGGTCGCACCTACAGGCATCAAACATGCGCCGACGTCAACTCCATAACTTGAACATCGTCACGTGTACGTTGCTTGTGATGGGCGTCTGGTTCTTAACATACTTCCTCAGCATTGTGCTTGCAGGTAGCGCAACACAAAAAACGGTCGAGATTACTAACAGGGAAAAAGAGGCAGACCTTATGCTGGACCGTTCTCACCATACCTTCCGCATATTTGTATTTACATATACACGCCCCGAGGGTCTGGAAGTGCTTCTGTCGTCCATTCTCAACACGAACTACTCCAAGGCACACCCTGGTGCGGTCGATCTGGAGGTGTTCGTTGATTACAGACGGAATGAGGACAACGAGACTCTAGTGAAGCAGGACACTATACTTCGAATGCTCAATCATGTTTCGTGGCCGCACGGCAGGTTCACAATTCATCAACGCTACACGAATGTCGGTCTCCGGTACTCCATCATGGAGGCGTGGCAGCCGACAAGTAGCCGCGAGGTGGCTGCGTTCTTCGAGGACGACGTGGTTGTGTCACCGTACTGGTTCTCTTGGCTGGTCGACGCACTTCAAGCCTACGCCCCTATCGGTCCAGACAATAAAACGAAGGTGGATCCGCGCCTCGTCGGCTTCTCACTCTTCCGCCCAGTTCATGATGAACTCTCGGCGCGAGATGTTCATGTGGACAACAGTTACGCTCCATTCCTGCTGCAGCAGCCCTGCAGCTGGGGTGCCGTGTACCTCCCAGGGCCCTGGCAGCAATTCCGGAAGTTCTTTGACGAGCATAAGAACCAAAATATGCGGGTGCAGAGAGGTGGTGAAAAAAGGGACCCTACAAGCAATAGCTGGGACCATTTGACGTCGTGGAAGAAGTATCTGATCTACCACATGTATCATGATGGCTTGTACATGATGTACCCGAACTTCCCCANCCGCTTGGTGCTTTCAACCAGCCGCCTTCTCCCCGGCGAGCACCGAAGGCCGTCCAAGAGGAAGTTTATTCTTCCCGTTGTCCAGAAAGATGACTTGGCGAACCCGGAGGTTAATGCCTCTTTGTTGGGCTTTCCGAATATGAAAGACATGAAGGTGTTTGATATCCTGTTTGACGAGGTTTCAGGCGTGGATGCCCTCCTCGTGAAAAATGGCGCCGTGTAGCTGTCATGATGCTTGATGCACTGTAGACAAAGAGGGTGCAATGCGTGCCGCCTTGTATTGCTTTTGGCAGATGTGGTACGGGCCTTCTTCTCCCTCCTTTGTTATTGTTTTTGTTGCAGTCCTTTTGGGGGGAAGGGGACTGTAGAAAAATGGTGAGAGGGGAGATTTTTTGATTCGTTTCTCACTCTCTGGAACTGGGCGTCCTTTGGTAGGCATAATGCCCGCTAAGCTGCGCAGATCCGCTCTTTCAAAGGAAAAAGTCCCGTGTTTTTTTTTTAGTGGTTGATTCTAAGGGTGCGCTGACTGGAAGTCTAGCTGCTGTGTAGAGCGCTTTCGAGTCCCTGCACACCACTTCTACACAACTGTGTCTTTCCTCACATTACACTGTCTCTGTGGCAAGGCGAAGACACAATGGTGCGCCAAGTACAAACCTTAGTTGCTGGGTTTTGTACTTTGCTTGACGACTTCGATTTGTGGTGCTGGGGCCATGCGGCATTTATGGTTTATGGGTTGCACTAGAAACCCTTGAAGGCATCAGAGCCTGTTAAGCACTGGCGTGCCGTCCACGAAGTGACATTCCATCGTATGAGTTCCGCATATTTGTATTTACATATTCACGCCCTGAAGGGGTGGAAGTGCTTCTGTCTTCCATTCTCAACACGAACTACTCCAAGGCACACCCTGGCGCGGTCGATCTGGAGGTGTTCGTCGATTACAGGAGGCGTGACGACAGCGATATTCGGGGGAAGCAGGACACTATACTTCGAATGCTCAAGAATATTTCGTGGCCGCACGGCAGGTTCACAATTCATCAACGCTACACGAATGTCGGTCTCCGGTACTCCATCATGGAGGCGTGGCAGCCGA